TAATCGAACGATATCGACGTGATGATATTGATATTTCGACGTAATTTGAATGCAGTTAATCGTTAATCAATTAATGAGTCGTATGCTAAGATTTTACTGACCTCAAAGGTCTCTAGTATATACTATAATTCTAAGCCTGTTGTTTATAAACAAGTAAACTCTTATTTCTCCGCGCATCTAAGTGATGGATATTCACGAGTTAAATATTGAGAAGTTATATTTATTTCTGAAATTCTCTTAATACTTTACAGTTTAGATTTATGAATAATAATGATGTAGACACACTCAATCACAACAATCAATAGTAACGACGTTACAGGATTTATAATATACACATGTGATCATTATTCTGACAATTTACTTCTAAAATATTCGTCTCGGATATACAATATTCGAAGAAAAATGACCATTTAATTTTGAGGTATCTGTAAATCGCAAAGAATAATGAGCTATAATCTCGTTAAATATTTTCAGCGCCACAATCATATAGACGTCTGTGACCATCATCGTTGCCGTAATCTCTTACTTTATGTCAAATGTGTATATATATATATATATATATATATATATATATATATATAAGCTCTCAAAAATATGAATAAGCTGAAATTTAGAAATAAACAAACATTAAGTAAACATACGAATTTATATGTATAGATAGATCGATTTATTACACAAAATGATTGTGCAATAATTCTATCAATTCGAATGTTAAGATAACGCATCGGAGTAACCCTTATTTACGAAGAATAATAAAATGATTTTGGCGGTTATGGGCTGGATGAAGAGTGCGGTGTTTAGTCGACCTGTCTCGATTATGTATGCGAGACGTCGTGAGTGGGGAAGATTGTCGCCACTGCTGAGCATCTGGAATGGAGTGCGCGCGCTCCGTGCAAGTGTAAGGTGGGATGGGAAAGAGTTTGCGCATACAGAAAGACGAAGAGAGGAGAGGGAGAAAGAGAGAGAGAATATATGGAGCAAGAGACAGATCGACGGAGATAAACATAGAAGGAAGCCTTGCCACTGGTCCTCGAAGCTAACCGAAGTAGAATCAACGAAGTGGGGAAAACAGACTTACCACTGTTATGGATACTGACAAAGCGATGGAATGCATGAGAATACAAATAAAACCATATCGTATCGACCAAGGATCATTTCTGTATCTACCGATGAGACAGAGAGAGAGAGAGAGAGAGAGAGAGAGAGAGAGAGAGAGAGAGAGAGAGAGTCTATCTATTAAATCGGAGCTATTATCAACGCTGCTGTTATTGGTTCACTTTATTTCATTTAGTATCATACCTCGTCAGTTCAAAAATCTAATCATTATTGTCGTGCGGCAATAGTATCAGAAGACGCGGTAGCGGTTCCCGCAAAGTATATTTTTTTGTTTCATTACAATTTATGATGAAGGATATTCATGGTATGATGATATCGTACATACAAGGTTACATACAAGGTTATTTACCTCATAAGTCGAATTGATCGTGAATAAATCCATCAATCATGCATTCTCTTTGCATTCGATCGTTGTCTAGATATATACGAATTCCATTTGATATCTATCTAGCGATTGTGATCGCGTGAGTCTGGCGACGCGTGCCCATGCATCAGTCAAAAGTTTGTGTGATCAACACATGCGCGAAAGAAATGTGTACATATGCAGAACTGGAGTTTCGGAGGTGAAAGAGGGAGAGAGATGTGTGTGAGGGGCGGGGGGTGGAGGAGGAAGGAGGAAAAGAGAATGAGAGAGACTTCTCAAGTCTCATGTGACAGCGAATCAAGGAGGAAGGAAGAGAGTGCCACGCGACGATGAAACGGACGAACAAAGACGGAAGCGACTGACTGAGTGAGCTTGGGGCGAGACGGCAGCGGCGGGGAATCGTTCGCGGGGCGTAGAACGGCGATATGAGGATAGTGTGCTCGGTAAAAGGTGAGTGGGGGGCGAGAGCATGAGGCCAAATGACGACACGCGCGAGCCGACAGGGCCGTATTCGAGAGCACGCGACATGCGTTTCGGAAGTCGTCGCGCGAGCGCTTTAGGCTTCGCGCGATCTCAAGACAGCTGCGGACTTGCAGAATGCATCTTTTTTCTTTTTTTTTTTCTTCAGAAACGCGATTCGCGCATTGTTCAACGATGCGTATACATAGATTAAACATACTTGCTATATCACTCTATGACAATATAAGATAATTTGAAAAAGACATAGCGACCGATTGTGAAACTTGCGAATGCGTATGTTTATATACGCATGTTATCTCTCTCTCTCTCTCTCTCTCTCTCTGCGCTTGAGAGGAATCTTTCCTAGAGCGCAAAATAAATAACGATATCAATCAATCAATCAATCTCTCTCTCTCTCATTCTCTCTTTCTGATTAGCATTATTTTATTTACGTTTTAAATTACGATTTTATATGTGACGACTTCATCTCCCTGCGAAGACGCGCTAATTATCAATATTCACAAAGAAAAACGTTCAATAACAATTTGTGATTTGACCTTGCATATACATATATGCGTATAACGTTTCTTCTGTTTCCAAGTTACGGGATGACGCATATTTTAAGATACTGATCACACAAGAGAAAGGACAACTCGTGCCGTGAAAACGTTCTTGAAAATATTTTATACGAACTCTGTATCGCGAATTCTTCTCTGGTGCAAATAAATTTTAACAAATTCTAATTTAATTGAAATATATTAATTTAAACTGAATATGCCATAATGTGTTTATAGTCAGTCGTTTATGTATAGTTTATATTTTTTTATTTTTTTATATTAAGCATGATGCTTTTTAAAATGATACAATTTTTCATCATTGATCAAGTGTCATGATACTTGATAAAAAATAATTTATAAGTAAACTTTCATTTACGTTATTCTGTATTTTTTGGTTTCTCTGATATCTTAAATGCATGTTTGTTAATACCAAGAGAGAGAGAGAGAGAGAGAGAGAGAGAGAGAGAGAGAGAGAGAGGAGAGAGAGAGAGAGGAGCGTATGGAAGCAGCTGTACAGGAGATCCTCTCGCATCTGTAGTTTGTCTACTACCTTTCCCGTTCTATGGCCAATCTCTTACTCGCTTAGCTCCCTTTGCATCACCCTCGCTATCCTTGTGCGCTTTAGGAACAGCACAACTCTTGCTCACTTCGTAACCGAGGGTTACCGATAAATGGAGTTACGCGTTTTGGCCACGAGAAGTTTAAACTGCTCCACAACTTTTGAAAAAAAAACACGGATACGAGGAAAATAAACGCAATACACATCGATACTAACAAACATATGATACACATTGATATATGTAGTAAAAGAAAAATAACTTTGGTTAAAAATTTCAGATCGTGATTGTTAAATGAATATCGCGTTTATCTAAAACCCCATCTACATATAAGTCGCAAACGCAAAACGCAAACGCAAACGCGGACGTTTCTCTCTTTCTTTTCTTTTTTTTTCTCCGCGTTTGCGTTTGTGTTGTGCGTTTGCGACTTATGGGGCTTAAATAGCAATATTTAATAACTTGGAAAGATTTTTTACTTGTTTTATATTTTTGTGTATATGTAGATACGTATTATGTAAATGCGTCAAAAACATGAAATTTTAGTAATAGATTTTTTAGTATCATTGAAAATTATAATCTTACTGGATTTAATGTATACGCCAATGCACTAGTATGTATAGGTATGTACCATCATTTCGCACGAAAATGATGAAGGATAAAGTCTAAATGTTGATAAACAGATGTCCGCGTCCATCATCCAATTGTTCGTATGCAGAAATGTATATAACCTTTTATACTTTTAACTGTTATAGCTTTTTTTAGTAATATAATAAAGTAATATAGTAAAGATCAAAATTTCACCAAAATTACAATAATAATTTTATAATCTTATAATAGTTTTCTTATTAAAAGGTATATATATATATATATATATATATATATGTATATGCATAATATACACCTTAATATACTATATATAATACCACATATTTGCAAAGTGATAAATATCATAACATATTCAATTGCATTAATTCTTCAATAGCAAATTTTTATTTATAGAAAATATATAATTATAAATACAAACACTTCATGAATTTTTAAAAGAGCTCCTTTAGGCTTTAACCGTTCATTTATAAGATTCAATTTGGATCACTGATCGTTTACCATCCAACTCATTCATATTCGTAAAAAGAAACGTTTTCCCATGTAACACTGTAGTAGATTTGACAAACGCTGATTTTCAGTGTAAGGTGACCGTGTAATAAGCTCTCGCGTTTACTCCTTGTCGCTTTTACGTTCAAGCCAGGAGAAGAGAATCGAATGCAGAAAAAAATCGAAAAAGGCGCAAAGGAGCGAGGAGAAGCAAAACGAAGAAGGTTGAGGCGCGAGAGCAAGTTCTCTCTCTCTCTCTCTCTCTCTCTCTCATGCCTGAGGAAGAAAGGTAGCATGAAATACAGTGGAAGAGAGGATTCACGAGTGCTCCGCGGAGTTCTCTCTACATTAACGGCTGTGGACCATGCTCGAGGTTCGAGGAACTAGTAGAACGAGGAGACGACCGGGACCGTTGAGGGGATGTACGGAGGATGGTGAGATGGGAGCAGGAGGAAACGGTAGTAGATGTGGTATACACTGCCACGGGTGAGACACACTTCGTCCACTGAAGTGGTATATGTATAGGCAATGGAGAGAGGCGAGAGGCGAAAGCGCGTCGAGAAAGGGTAGAAGCGCGCGCGCAGAAGAGGAGAAGGGTGGGAATGACGAGGGTTAGAACGGGTCAGACGTTCCATCGTTGCTCCGAGCAAGATGGGTGGCGGGTGGGTGGGTGGCAGCAGCGCGAGCACGAGCGGGAAGCGGAAAGTAGGACCGTTGGCGAGGGGAGGTCGGCACGGCTCGGCACTCGGCGCTCGGCATCGGTGGAGCAGGTGGCGTGAGGTGGGAGGATCGTGGGTGCCGTGCCGTGGGCCGTGGGTGGCAGCTGAGTACAGAGTGATAGGGGAAATCAGTCGCGGTTCGAGTACCGCCGCGAATGCACGTAAGCGACGTTTGTCGTCGCGCTGTCCGCCCCTTTCTCTATCTCTATTTCTTTCTCTTTCTCTTTTTCTCCCTCTCTGTTTCTCTCTCGACTTATTCGTTGCCATTCAACTTTCCTGTCCCTCTTTCTTACCAACTTTTATTCTCTATTTCTCTCTTTTTCTTTGCTTTTCTCTATTCTTTGGATATATGTAAACGTAATCGCGTCTTTCATGTGCTGTCTCGGATAGCACTGACAACCGAATGCACTATAAACGCATATAAACGGAAGCGGTCCTCGAACGAGTCCTCGAAGGACCTCGACGTGAGTTGACCTTTCGAGTATGCGAGTCGATTTGAGAGAAAAAAATCCAGCGTATATCGATATATAGCGCAGGGTGGGGAAGCAACTGAGAACCGATAAGAAAACCCGGTGTAAACAAAGGAGAGTGAGGCCATATTCGAGAGAAAGGGAGACAGAAAGAGTGGGAGGTGAGAAGGGGAAACACGCGATCGGAGTAGTAGCTCGACTCCCTCGCGCCAAAAGAGATTCACTCGTGCGGTATTAGCCTCTCTTGTTAGGGAAAGTCGTTGCGAATAACCGAGTAGCGACATATTCCTGATCCCTGGACCGTTGAGATTTTCCTTCCGCTGATCTTAAGCACTTTCGGCCGATCGATGTCTTGCGCGATTCGCGACGATCGAAGAGTTTGAACTTGATACTATTGGATAAGTATCGAATCAAAGTGAGCAAAAAGTGAAAAAGACAGTGGCCAGGGGGCGCCGTGGAGTTCCAACTCAACGGGGCGCAATATCGGTGTGGGACGGTGAGAAGAGGAGAGCGAAGGACGCCAACGGAATGCTCGACTTCGAACAACAGGCCAATCAGGCACAGGCAGAGGCACTGGCCTCGCTGGATGACGACTGGCACCTGCTCGAGGGTGAGCGCACGACCTTCGCAATTTTCTTTCTCTCTTTTCTATGCCTTCTTCAGAAGGTGCCCAGAGGTCGGTAAGACGATGTCACGTCGCTCCAAATTTAAACCTGACAGCGACGAAGTAGGTGGTAGCTCTTGAGAACATTATACAGGATTCTCTATCTTCGACGGACAAATTCGAAGAAATTACGTCGCGTTACACCTGCTCTAATTCACCGAAAATTAAACATATCGTGATGAAATTTTTAAATATATCATTAATAATATTACACACACACACACATCTTAGGATATAAATAGGAGTCAAAATACGCGAGTAACGTTAACATCATTAATTATATGATGAGACGATGAGTTAAAGAGAATATTATTATGTGTCGCTGTTATTATATTTTATCTTTCCGGTAGATATTATCAATATATTGATACATAACGTAACGCCACTCACGAACTTATGTTTTTTAAATAGGATGCGTATCTATTGTTTTTCGAAATTGTTGCTAATTTCAACTAAAGTTGTTGTATTTAAAAGGAAAGAAGTGTTGATTAAAACTCGATATTAATTAACAGACGCATGCAAGCAGGTGCGATCAATGACTCAGGAGAGTAAATCGAAATTTACATTCGCGAGAATTGCACGTTATTCGCAGGCGATGTCATCGATGTGCGACGAAAAACTGATTTATTGCGGTCGAGATAGTTGCGCATTAATAATGTCAAAAACAAGATGTATGACGCGGGTAAATAGACTCGCTCGCTCTACGAAACGATTCAAGTGACGTAGCATGACAAAATCATTTCTAATGCGATGTCGTCGATTAATTTCATATTTTATGCATTAGCCTTGTATCGTGCTAGAATTATTATAGAATAACCTTGCGATTTACGTTATATGTATATACGCAATACATATATTTTTTTTTTCTTAAAAAAGAATTTACTCATATTGTATTATATATATCATATATATATATATGTGTGTGTATATGTGTGTGTGTGTGTGTGTGTGTGTGTGTGTGTGTGTGTGTGTGTGTGTGTGTGTTGTAATTTTTTACAAATTTTATTTCCAAAATTGATTCTGCTATTAAAATATTTTAGCCAGCAATAATAAGTTTTTCTGCATGTCAACATTTTAAAATAGAAATACTCAATATTATATCATAGCTCATTCGCCAGAAATTTCTTTATCTTTACCTACATGTGTGTGTATTTCTTGTTTGCATTTAATTTCAAAACGATATACTAGGCATTTTCCGTGTTATCGATGTGACTTGTTAGTCAAACCAAGAGAGATACCTAGCTATTAGGGGAAGAGCGGACCCTTCGTTGAGCTAGATTTAAACCCATTCTCGACCGAGTTACACATGACGGTGGTGGCGCACGCTTGCAACTATGAGATTGCCTCGTGCTCACACTCTGGAGTTCGTCTTTTCTTTTCGGAGCATTTCCATCACTCACATCTGGATTGTACGTTTACAGCCACGTTATCATGATTCCTTCTTCTTTTTTTACTTCATAGTAGTTAAACGAACACTATTTAGACCATAATCAGCGTGACGTTTATTCTCCTGCATTACGACGTTTGCTGTTCGTGTTGTAAGACATCGCATCTCAGATAGATTAGGACTATAAAGTTTTACGAAGTATGTAACGCTTAATAAAACAATGGCATCATGAATTCGTTAGCTGTATAATCTGCCATGCTTTTAACTCTCTGCGGCAAGTACTCGCCCAACATACCAACTTTTAATCTCCTTCGGTTCACGCACGTACGTATTGTAATTAAAATTTTCTGAAAATAAAATGAGATGAGTGTTTCGAATATTTTGGGATATAATCTTTCTATTTTCTTTCGTTTCTTTAAACACAGGTTAGGTATTATTACCATCATCATTATTATTATTATGTCTATCATAATATATATAGATGAATTTGAAACTTGTTTTGTTTTTATTTTTCTCGTTTAAATCGTTCTTAGACATATTATTTATCTTATCAGATTGAGAAAAGAACAGAAAGTTAACCGTTTGCGCTACTTTATGTAACTACAAACGTCATCAATTTACATGTCCGTAAACGCTAGTAAATACTTATTGGTAATATTCCTTGATTCTATGTATGTATTTTCGATTTAGTGGCGATCAAAATGGGTCATTTTACCCCAACCGAAGCACATTGTGGCATGCGATCAATATAGCACTTTTATCAGTATTTTCATCTTTATTCCGCCAAATTTGAACGGCAATATTAGCTCACTTTTCATTCTGTCCCATTGTTATGTATTCACTTAAAACTCGACATTACAAAGAAAAATTTTTATAAGGCATTATAGTAATTAAATTTTTTCCTTATCTGATTATATATTTACAAACTTCATTAATTATATCGCTGAATAGTTTTGTAAATAGTACATAGCCGCGAAAATAGTGAGACAAAATCTGCGTTTGAGCATTGAACCGAAATTGTACTTCAGTAACCATGAACACACTGCCTGGAGATCTAAAAATAAATACCTGAGCTTAGCGAACCCATTATTTATTTTTAGCATGTTGAATGGAGATACCGTAGAGAACTAGTATTGATACTAACATAAGACGTTAGTTTTACATACTCGACTATTACCGATAATTATTTAATTTGATTAAAACATAAATTATATAGTTATAAAAAAATTTTCAAAAAATTATCTAAAAAGTGGTTTATTTTTTTTAAAACATGATCTACATTATAAGATTAAAAAAAAGTTCTGATAGATATTTACTGCACTTACTGCACCATTATACACGAACGCAAAGCATACAATTGTATTAAAAAGAAAGAAGGACTATGCACTTTCGAAATTGCAACGATCGCCCACCCCAAGAAATCAACAGAGTATAATAATAATCGTCGAGAAAGTATTGCGCGCATGAATATACGATTCTTTTGTTTTAACAGCGCTGTATGCGAATCTCTCTCTCTCTCTCTCTCTCT